TGAAGGCTAACTTTGAAAATGCTAAAATTAATTTTGTAATTATATTCATTTTCGAAAAGCTATTTAATACTTTGATAGATTTAATTTTCAATAGTAGCTCTAACTTGTAATTTCAGACCGTTCACTAAAGTGAATAAATATTTAAAATGTATTTACTCACAGAATTGAAATAAATAAGTAAAGATATTATAGTTAATTGATATACAAATAACCGATGCAGTATTCTATATTTAAATATATTTCGTAGTTAACATTTTAGGGAAAAATATATTAATCTTACGAAATCTTAATTTAACATGTTTACAAAACATATTTTTACCTATTTACCTTAAAAAATCTTAAAAAAGTTCAAAAATAAGGATTATGACAATTGTCACTTTTCTATAATACACTTTTACTGAAATTTTAATTTAACATGTTTACAAAACATATTTTTACCTATTTACTTTAAAAAAACCCAAAAAAGTTCAAAAATAACGATTATGGCAATTGTCACTTTTCTATAGTACACTTTCACTGAAATATTAATTTAACATGTTTACAAAACATATTTTTATCCATTTACTTTTAAAAAAACACAAAAAAGTTTAAAAATATTATGACAATTGTCACTTTTCTATAGTACACTTTCACTGAAATATTAATTTAACATGTTTACAAAACATATTTTTACCTATTAACTTTAAAAAAACACAAAAAAGTTTAAAAATAACGATTATGACAATTGTCACTTTTCTATAGTACACTTTCACAATATTAATTTAAAATGTTTACAAAACATATTTTTACCCATTTACGTTAAAAAAACTCAAAAAAGTTTCAAAATAACGATTATGACAATTGTCACTTTTCTATAGTACACTTTCACTGAAATATTAATTTAACATGTTTACAAAACATATTTTTACCCATTTACGTTGAAAAAACTTAAAAAAGTTTAAAAATAAGGATTATGAAAATTGTCACTTTCTATTGTACACTTTCACTGAAATATTAATTTAACATGTTTACAAAACATATTTTTACCTATTTACTTTAAAAAAACACAAAAAAGTTTAAAAGTAACGATTATGACAATTGTCACTTTTCTATAATACACTTTCACTGAAATATTAATTTAACATGTTTACAAAATATATTTTTACCTATTTATTTTAAAAAAACTTAAAAAGTTCAAAAATAACGATTATGACAATTGTCACTTTTCTATAATACACTTTCACTGAAATATTAATTTAACATGTTTACAAAACATATTTTTACCCATTTACGTTAAAAAAACTCAAAAAAGTTTAAAAATAACGATTATGACAATTGTCACTTTTCTATAGTACACTTTCACTGAAATATTAATTTAACCTGTTTACAAAACATATTTTTACCCATTTATTTTAAAAAAACTCAAAAAAGTTTAAAAATAACTATTATGACAATTGTCACGTTTCTATAGTACACTTTCACTGAAATATTAATTTAACATGTTTACAAAACATATTTTTACCTATTTACTTTAAAAAAACTCAAAAAAGTTCAAAAATAACGATTATGACAATTGTCACTTTTTTATAGTACACTTTCACTGAAATATTAATTTTGTTTACAAAACATATTTTTACCCATTTACGTTAAAAACTCAAAAAAGTTTAAAAATAACGATTATGACAGTTGTCACTTTTCTATAGTACACTTTCACTGAAGTATTAATTTAACATGTTTTACTTTAAAAAAACTCAAAAAAGTTCAAAAATAACGATTATGACAATTGTCACTTTTTTATAGTACACTTTCACTGAAATATTAATTTAACATGTTTACAAAACATATTTTTACCCATTTACTTTAAAAAAACTCAAAAAAGTTTAAAAATAAAGATTATGACAATTGTCACTTTTACCTAAAAAATATTCTATCAAAAGATATATAATAGATAAAATTACGTAAAATATAAATATATAAAAATCATTTTAAAATTATATATTAAAAAAAAATACCAATCAAAAAAATATATTTAAAAAAATCATATAACACAAAAAATAAAAAAAATTAGCGATCAATCGAATTCGAAGTTCTTTAATTGATTGGCATAATTGAACAATCATTAAATCAATCGATGACAATAACACCTAATAAAAGCTGCCTTTGGCGCCTCTGCTCTAAAAGGCCTGCACACCATTGATTCTTCCACTCATGTTTGAGGCGCCATCATAACTTTGCCCAATTAGTAATTCAAGGGGAAAATTCATCGAGCCGAGTTTGAATATTATATTATGCTTAATATCGAGACCTGTGGTATTTCCCGTATAATATATGTCAATCAGTCTTTCAACAGGCTTCGGAGTCTCACTATTTTTCAACATATCTTTCTATCAAAGCTATTGCTTCTGATTTCGAATCATGATTGAAAAGCACCTGTTGTAATCTCATTTTGAATTTTTTTTATAACCATATATAACCATATTTTTCATGGCTTCAATGAGAATATTTATGTTATTATATGAAAATAGATTTGAATATAATTTCGTTTTTAATCCCTTATTTTTTTTATCCCTTTTTCTTTCTTCATTTTGTTGTATATATGTTAGCGGCAATGTGAAAATTCGGCAATGTGAGGTAGTGGTAGGCAGGGTAATTTTGTTATTTCGGTAAAGTATACATTGCCGAAATAACCAGGCAATGTGTAATTTTTGTAATATTATATTATTAATAATTTTTTCGTTATTATTAATAATTTTTTAAGATTTTATATTTTAATTTGTTTTATTTTTAAATTTTATATTTTTTTTTCAATATATATTTTTGATTGATATTTTTTTTAAATATATTTGTTTTACTTGATATATCTAGGAATACTAGATGAGTTGAGGGCAGCTTTAACAAATTTAAAGGATTCTGAAGATCCTGCCACTTCCACTATGGCTAGTGCTATAGTCTTTAGAATAGAAAAATTTGATTTTATCTTATCACTTTGTGTTTTGGATAAAATATTGTTGATAACAAGTTTGGCTTGTACAAAATTGCAAACCATTTCGAAGGATATAGGGTTTGCAATAAATCAAATTCAATTGGCAAAAGATTGCCTGATTAATTTGAGAAGTATAATTTAAATTATTGTCTTAATTATTTTTTAATCTAATAGATAATAACAATGAAATTTTGGATGTTTTTTCAAAGGCACTAGATTTTATGAAGGAGAGAAATCTACCTTTTGATTTTGAAAGTTCTAGACTTCAAACATTACATTCCAAAAAGGAGAGGTATATATATATACTTTCATCATTAAATATAGAAATTTTTTTTAACTTTATGTACTGCCGAAAGAGTCATGAGTAAAATTAAATTAATTAAAACAAGACTTCGTAGTACCATGAAAGATTCATTTCTCAATAATTTAACCATATTATCAATGGAAAAAAATTTATTTAATTAAATATTGATGAAATTATAAATTCGCTTTCTCTTCCCCTAATTTATCTAAATTATTAATTTAAAAATAATATTTATAAAGTATATTTTTTTGCATATTTATATTATATATTAAAAATTGATGCAATAAAAATTATTTTTGGAATTTATGGGTGTCATAAAATAATTATCATTTTTTCGAGGGAAGGGGGTACTTTTCAGGGGGGTATTCTGCTTCATTCTCTCAGAAAGTGTAGGGGCCACTGGTGAGGTAAATGGGAATCGGTTACTCCCTTTTATTTTGGGACACTTTATTTTTTAACGAAATAAATATAATAATTTTTTCTTACTTGTAATAATTTTTTTTTCTTTTCTTTTGAACAAAGAAATATTTTTTTCCTCTTTTGAGCTCAACCAAAATAAATCTCTAAAATATGGAAGACAACAATAATCAAATGATAAAGAAACTCTGGAAAAAATGACAGCTGTCTTTTATTTAGTTTTTTTATCTACTTATACATATCTACTGCAAAATAAATATAAACTGATTAAAAATATAATTAATCTAAAAATAGCAATTTTTATATAAATCCTTATTATAATATATTAAAAGAATGACTGCGCAAAAAAAATTCAAAAAAAATATTTTTCACAAACAAAAAATGACTTTGCAATTTATTATAAAAATGACTACACATAAAAACGATATATATAACAGAACCGCTGGACTTTGAGGTTAAAATATTTGTGCTAGGATATAATTTACATTTACAAAGTGTAGACTTGGTACCATTAATTTTCTTTATTGGTTTAAAATATATTTAAAATTGTAGCTAGGGAAGAGAATCATCTGAAGATATAAGTACTATAGACATAATATTCTTAAAAAAAATTATAAGAATAATAATATCATTAACATTTACTTTGAATTTTGATTGAATATTAATTTCGACAGAAAATTTAACAACGAGAATTTAAATTAAAAATGAAAGAAGTGGTTGACATGAATTAAAACTCTGCTTAAATTAATTAAAAAATAAATAAAAGTTATTTTATAATACAATAAAATATGTTTTTCTTTTTGTTGATATTTTTTAAGAAAAAATATAAAGTAACGTTTTGGGTTACCGTTACTCAAAAAAAAGAAACACGTTACCGTTACTCGTTACCTCTAGAAGAAGGTAACGAATAGCGTTACTTTTTTGACGTTACTTCACAGCACTATATATTATATCTTAACTATGAATTTGGAGTGAATTAAATAGTAAAGCGACTGGTACAAATGTCATAAAGGCCAAAGTACCCAGCTGAATTTTATATTACCGGTATCAAAGATAAATAATAAAAGATATGTGTAGCTGACTAGATTTTCAAATTATGAAATTTAAATTAATTGGGTGGCCTAGTGGGATGTAGGCTTGGAAACAGAAGGTCCCAGGTTCGATCCTGGTTAGGAACGTAAAAATTTTCCGGTTTTTCTTCGATGATTGATGTGTAAAGACATATGGTAGGATGAATTTCGGAGCTTAGAGATAACACCCCGGTCCCCAACAGGCTTGGACAGCCGGGTGCTAAGGATACTTGTCCAATAAACAAAAATGAAGGACACAAATGAAAATATGAATATGAAAGCTAGGGCGTTCCCTCCAAGCAACGCGCAGGTTTAGACCTCCATCCTGCGAAAAGTAAAAGGTCAAAGCAAAGAAGACAGTTAGCAAGTTTGAATATTGGGACACTTAAAGGTAAGACAAGAGAATTGTCATCAATGTTGAATAAGAGATAAGTTGATATAGCGTGCATACAAGAGACGAAATGGAAAGGTTAGAAGACTTTAATGATTGGAGATGGGTGTAAATTGTACTATAATATAATTTTTAGCAATAGGAACGGTGTCGCATCATCCCAGTCAAGATCTAACCTCCTCAGTAGTAAAAGTCAACAGGATCTCCGATAGACTAATGAAGATAAAACTCTGCATTGGTCAATAAATACTACACATCCTTTCAGTATATGCTCCTCAAACGAGTTTCAAAGACGAGGAGAAGATGACTTTAGAGCTATCCTTGATAACGCTGTAGTGGAAATTCCTAAGGATGACCTAGTCATAATAGGTGGTGACTTAAATGCGCATGTGGGAAAAGCAAGAGATAGCTACAAAAGGCATAATGGTGGTTTTGGATACGGAGAAAGAAATGATGAAGGAGAGCATGTACTGAAATTTGCGCATGCCTTCGACATTGCCTTAACCAACACCTACTACAGGAAAAAAGAGTCATTTAATAACATATGAAAGTGGTACAAGGAAAATAGATTACATGCTATATCTCGCAGAAGATTAAAGATGTAATAGACTGCAAAGTCATCCCAGGAAAAGATATCGCCGTGCGACACAATCTACTAGTCATGGATTTACACATCTCAAATAAATCCACTCAAAATAAGATAAAACTTGAACCATGCATCAAATGGGGTAAATTAAAAACAATGACAGATACCTTTGCAATCAATGCAAACATTGAAACTATAGATTCCTCACAAGTCAGTAAAAAAAATGTGGACAGACCTTTCACCCAGATTAATAGACACTGCCAAATAGACACTAGGCTTGACAAGGGGAGGCAACAAATCATACAAAGAATTATGGTGGTGAAATGAAGAGGTATAAAACACTATAAAGTGGAAAAAAGCCCTATATAAAATAAGGTGCAAAAACTCAGATGACAAGACAAATTACAAAAAATCCAAAAGAATAGCTACAAAGGCGGTGGCTAGGGCCAAAGCTATGGCATACGATGACATGTATGAAGAACTACATACCAAAGAAGGGCAAAATAAAATATACAGATTAGCCAAACAGTGAGAAAAGAATTATAGGGATATAAACGGAGCTCCGATAGATGGGAAATTGATAATAAAGGAAAAAGAAATAATGAATAAATGGAAAGAATATTTTCAGGAGCTTCTCAACTTTAATCCCCACATATTACATCTAGATGAACACTCCCTATATCAAAACCTTCTACAACCAATAACAGAACAAGAAATAATCACATGCCTCGAGCATATGAAAAACAACAAAGCTAGGGGTCCAGATGATATTCCAATAGAAAGCCTTAAAGCACTAGGAGATGATGGAATACATCTCCTCACAAATCTGTACATAAAATACTGGGAAATGAAGAGATCCCTCAAAAATGGAGGCAGAACTATCTAGTTCCTATCTTCAAAAATAAAGGGGATCCACACTTGTCAAAATTACAGGGGCATAAAACTAATGTCACACTGTCTAAAACTATACGAAAAAATAATAGAAAAAGGTTAAGAGACATAATCGAAATAGGAGAGATTCAGTTTAGCTTTAAGCCTAGAAGATCAACAACTGATGCTATCCACGCAATTAGGCAAATGAGTGAAAAATACAGGGAAAAGAAAAAAAGCTATACATGGTCATTCTCGATCTAGAAAAAACCTTCAATAAAATCCCAAGAAAACTTATCTTGTGGGCGCTACGCCACAAAAAGATTTCCGAAAAATATATAAGAATAATACAGGATATGTAAATGGGCCATACAACAATGGTTCGTAGCACAACTGGTACTTCAACAGGCTTCACAATAAACGAGTTAGTTCATCAACGGTCGGCTCTCAGCCCACTTCTCTTCATAACAGTAATAGATGTATTAGCACAGTCTATACCACAAACAGTCCCGTCGAATATGATATTTGCAGATGATATTGTGATACTTGCCGAATCCAAGGATGAAATGAAAGAAAGATTAGTGAGGTGGGTAAATATCCTAGAAAAGCACGGACTAAAAGTAAATAGAGAAAAGACGGCGTATATGGTGATAGGAGGAGATGAAACAGAGAGCATTGATATAAATGAATGGCAGATATCGACAATTGAAAACTGCAAATATTTGGGCTCCACTATACAAACAAACGGCACAATAGAGAAAGAGATAAAGAGTAAAATTAATCAAGGGTGGTTAAAGTGGAGATCTTTATCTGGAGTGCTCTTTGACAAAAGAATCCCACACAAATTGAAGGGAAAAATTTACAGTTCCATAGCAACTATTCTATAAGTTCGGAAACATGGCCAACCAAAGAATCAGACGAGAGAAGTCTACAAACTATGGAGATGAAAATGCTGAGGATGATTGCTGAGGTAACAAGAAAGATTAAGGTGCGAAGTACAAAAATACTACGAAGTTTAAAGGTAGTGCCCATTAAGACTAAAAAAATGGTAAACAGACTTAGGTATGGGCATACAATGAGAAGGCCTATGAACTACATTAGAAATAAGGTTGAGAGTTTGGAAGTGATATATACGTAAAAGAGGAAGGCCAAAACTTCAATGGGGACATAAAGTTAGAGCCAATATGAAGAAGTATAAATTAGATAAACGAGATAGTATGAATAACATAAAGTGGAGGGAGATATTGAAAGAGCTTACCAGCAGAAAACGTGAAAGCTAGAGAAAAAAAAATGGCAAAAGATGTTTTTCGTTATTCTATATTTTGTTTTAGTGTGACGCTATTTTTTATATTTAGTTAATAATGTTTTAATTTTAATTTTGGCTTGATTAAAGTACTTTCACCTATTTAGGACAGATGAATGATATAAATTTTAACTCAATTTAAAATAACTAATTTTTCACTAAATAATTGACCTTGAAATATTTATTTATTAAGTGCCAACACTTTCTTAATTTGCTAATAACTCACGAGCGGTTGATTCTGCTGATATACAGTTAAAAGATTCTTGAGGTTCAATTAAAGGGCTACACATTGGCATATCTATTTGTAATTGCACTTCATTTTTACAAAAATTCCGCCACGTTTCTCAAATGGACATATATAACTTGGTTACGGTGAGTGATAAGGATATCGGGTTTTGAGAATATGCTATGGTACAAATTGAATACTAAATAATTGCCAAGTTTCAGAATATGATCCTTTTTATTTTCGATTTTGGCAAGAGCCAACACTTTCCTATTTTGCTAATAACTCACAAGCGGTTGATTCTGTTGATATACGGTTAAAAGATTCTTGAAGTTCAAATAAAGGGCTACACATTGGCATAGCTATTGGTAATTGCACCTAACTTTTACAAAGAATTACGCTTCCGCTTCTCAAATAAATAGATATAACTCTGTTACGGTGAGTGATACGGATATCGGGTTTTGAAAAATATTAAAGCACAAATTGAATACTAAATAATGGCCAAGTTTCAGAATATCATCTTTCTTATTTTCGGTTTTGGCAAAGTGTCAACACTTTCTTATTTTGCTCATAACTCACAAGCGGCTTATTCTGCTGATGTCCGGATAGAAGTGCAATTAGGTGCAATTAAGACTCTAAATAATGGCATAACTTTTGTTAATTGCACCTCAAGTCGTTCTGCTAGCTTAAAAATTTCACACTTTCCTTATTTTGCTCATAACTCACGAACGATTCATTCTGCTGATGTCCGGATAGAAGTGCAATTAAGACTCTAAATAATGGCATAACTTTTGTTAATTGCACCTCAAGTCGTTCTGCCAACTTAAAAATTTCACACTTTCCTTATTTTGCTCATAACTCACAAATGGTTCATTCTGCTGATTTCCGGATAGAAGTGCAATTAGGTGAAATTAAGACTCTAAAAAATGGCATAACTTTTGTCAATTGCACCTCAATTCGTTCTGCCAACTTCATAGACCTTTTAGAATTTTTATCTTGATAGCTGTCTTTCATTTTTGACAATATTAACTATAAAAATAAATAAAATATTCGATTTGGATCTATTTTTAAAAACGGCGAACTCAATATTTTAGCCAGAAAAATATTGCACAAGCTCGAAATGTTGCTAATATATGTCCAAACATTTGTGCCACCCATGAACCGAAATCTACAGACATAAATTTTATTTTTAAACACCTCAATCATTATAACCCTCAATTATTTAATAAAAAATCTCATTTATTTTATACATATTAATATTGCAAATACACAAAATTACTTATTATATTTTTTTATCTTTATATAATATTCTTCCCAAGAACATTAGTTTTTATAGTTCTTAATATTTTAATAAAAATCTTGTTATGCATATGTTGTTCATTTAAGGATTTTTTATTATTAAAAATTGAAATTAATTTATATATAAAAAATTTTGAATCTAGGAAAATAATTCCCCGGAAAAAATTTCCCAGGAAAATATTTCTCCCGAAAAAAAATCTCACAAAAAATAATTCCCCGAAAAATAAATCCCCTATTTTTTGATCCCTTTAAAATATTAAATTATTTTTAGAAAATTAACAAAATAGAAAAATAAATCCACAAATAAAATATGTAAAATTTTCGAGAAAATAAACAAAATTAAAAAAAATTCCCATAAAATTTTTCCAAATAAAAATTTCCCAGATAAAATTTTTAAACAAAATTATGAATAATAACTAGTGATTTATATTCAGAGTTGTTAAAGGATCGAATCAAAAGATCGCCCATCCTTGATTCGATCCTAAATTTGTTTTCTCGGATTTAAGATCCTGACCTTAAATTGTGGATCGTGATCGAGATCATTTTTTTAAATATTCTATCCCGATCCTTTTAAAAATTATTTTTTTACTTAAAAAGCAATAAATAAAATAAAAATTTTGAAAATTAAATTAATATATTATTTAAAAAAAATATCTATCTACATTATGTTTTATCAACCACCATTTCACCAGATTTTATATTTCAACAATTTCCCAAATTTTTTGTAAGAGCAAGTTATATATTTATTAATTATATTATAATATAAATTCTAGGTTTTAATAATGTCCTCCATTATAGATTTAGAAGATGATACATCTACTTCTATTGATGTGACAGCAGATATAATTGAGAATGAGAATCTTTTACCATTTTATAATTTACGTATTTACTTTTGTGAAACGGATGGAAACAATACAATGATCTATGCAAAATGCTTTTTATGCACAAACAAAATATCTTCTTCAAAGATTAGAAGTTCAAACCTAAAAAGGTATTTAGAAGTAATTAATTCTTTTAAAAATACAATTTTTATTATTTGTGAAGATCATAACAATATGCATATAATAAAAATTATAGATTTCCTTCACTATATGATGACAGTAATATATTGGCATCAATAATTTACCCAAAATTTAAGCTCAATTGGCCTTTTATTAATCTACCACAAAATTTGTTGCTAAAAGGTTAATTGCCCATTCAGAAAATATACAAGGTCAATCATATGCAGATCCTTCAAATGAATGCATGGATCGATGCCTTTTTTGGGAAAAACTCGTCACAAAGCTCTTTCAATTAATAATTTTTTTTATTCTAATGATGATTCAGTGAATATTTTTAATAATTATGTTAATTAAAAAAAACATTTATTGAATATATAACACACCTTTACCCTAAGCGCTCCTTTGGAGCTCTTGTTTAGTAAAGCTAAACATGTTCTTAATGAAAAACGTGGTTGTTTAAATGATGATAATTTAGAAAATTTTTTATTATTAGCTAATTTAATTATGAATAAATATATTCTAATTGTTATACTTATATTATATTATTCAATTACAATAAATTTATACCATATTTATTTATTTTTTATATTAGTTAATTTTGCATCGATCAGAAATTTAAATAAGAAAAGGATCGTGATCGTGATCCTTTTTTTAAAAAAAGGCCGATCCTGGATTTTGACCCTCTTTTTTTCAAAAGATCGTAATCGGGATTCGATCTTTTTAAAAGGATCGATTAACAAGCCTGTTTATATTAAACCTAACCAAATTTTAAATTATTTAACCAATATAATTAATAATGTTAAGGCCTTATTCCGAACCCATGTTTGGTGAAAATT